ACGTTGCGGACGGCGCCGTATCCGTATTTGGTCTTGGCATGCTGTTCCAGCGACTCAAAGATGGTCCAGCCCCACTCTCGGTAGATCGGATCCTGTGTGATCCGGAACATGTACATGAGGCTCTCGACGGTCTCCGGCCGGAGCTTGTACATAGAGTTCGGGATGTGCCATCCAGGAAACTCGACCAAGTCGGGCGCGAGGCCCGACGGCTGACGCAGGTAGAACTGCGTGCACGTGTGCATGAGCTTCTTGGCCAAGTCCAAGTGCCGCGCCGCCTTGGTCGTATTCTGCTCATCCACAGTGCCGAGAGCTAGCATGCCCGGGACAAAGCAGAGCAAGTGATCTTGCTGGGGATTCGCCTGGATACCACCGACGACACCTGTCAGACAACGGAAGGGTGTGCACCGTCGCAACATACGTCCATGTCGGGGAGGCGAAGTTCTTGGAGATAGTACACGTCGTCCATTTCCGAGTACACGAGCAAGTGCTTCTCCATGCCGTCGACGGCATCGTCGTAGAGCTTCCGAAGGTACGCGTCCTCGTGCCGCTTGCCACTGTACAGCCACACCTTGAGCAAGTACTCGTAGAACGAGTCGCCCCGCGCCCCGACCGTGATCATGGTGGCGTCCGTGGCAAAGTGTCCCGCTTCCGGCTCAAACTCCACGGGGTATAGCCCCGTGTTCTTGTACGAACCTTCTCTTTGCACAGCGGTGTAGAACGCCTCGCCCTAGCCATTCATTCCAAACGGAACTCATGGTTGTACCAGAAGATGGCATCGGAATCGGTACCATTTGTCTGTAAACGCCGTTGCCAGTGATGTCACTGAGGTACCGCATCTCGAGCTGCAATGTGCCAAAGTCGGCCAGGAGCCCCCTACGAGCATGCGAGTGATGGGGTCGGTGCTGACCACTGTGCCGTTGAGTACCGCAGCTTTCCTCCGTGATGGGGAAGGTACGTGTCCTTGGTGTGCATGTTGAAATGCGTATAAAAGACCCCGTTCGAGAACGCAGGTAGGAGCAAGTCCGCCAGCTCGACCGCGCGGTGCTTGAACACGTCGTCTTGTGACAGATCGTACGCGCTGAGGAGGCCACCGAGCTGCCGAATGACGATTTCGAAGACGCTGAGGGTATTTCCATCCTGTCCCAAATGTGAAAAGTCCATCGAGAGGGCCACCCAGTCGCGGGCTCGCTGGAATTCGTCCTGTGTCACCATGAAGGTCATATGTCAGAGAAACCGAGGACGTACATGCATGTCCATCAGGTACAGAGTGTCAAGTGAGTCGACTAGCGTCACGCCGATGCCACCCCAGACGTTCTCTCGCCTTTCCCCAGACACTGGAGCAATTTCATCCGCCCCGAACGCGTGCGTCTCGTAGTTTGACCAGGCATATTGCATTGCACGACGAACAGCATCCTGCCGAGCAATTTGGGTCACGTCAAGGTCACGATGCGGCAACGGGATGAATCTTGCAATCGGTGTACGTGTTGGACAAGGTGCTGTTGGAGGCCGTGTCACGTTGTGTCGAAACGACGTTGTCAGGCCGAGCGAGTGGGGGGCAATGTAGTTCTCGACGTACGCAACCATCGACAGACCGACGAGCACGCCAAGGACAAGTTTCAGTCGGCGTATGGATCCGCGTCCTGGTACCGTTGGCATCACTTGTGATGTTGCAACCCTCGATCTTCACGATGGCTGGAAAACGACAAAATACTGCCAAAGTTCAACTAAAATTGGCGAATCAAGACACGAGGTTTCAAAAAAGCAGGAAAGTTACGATTTTAAGACTTCAACAATGACAAGATCTCGAGGACACTTTCGCGGGAGAAGTCAATACAATTCTAAGGTTGAATTTATTCTCGGACGCTATGAAGTAGGCGGAGATAAATTATTCCGAGGAAGGACCGCCTTGGAAGCCCAACATCGCCTTGAATTCATCGTACAAGACCAAGACGAAGGCACCGCC